AGTTGGGGGCAGACAGGCCAGTGGTGCATGAACTGACCCTGTGCCATAGGACAGCTGAGGGCTCTGTGAGCACACAGGAAATGGGCCCTGATCCCTTGGGGAAAGGAGGGGTGAGGAGGGGTGCAGTCCCCGGAGACCTCCTGGAAGAGGTGACACTGAGGACTGAGCTTTGAAAGGGTGGAAAGAATGACCCCAGGGATGGGTGGGGGCAGCACTGCAGTAGAGGGCACAGTTAGCGTGGAGCATGCAGAGGCCAGTGCAGTGCGGGGCCTAGAACCCTGGTGCGATCTTTCCTGCCTCTGTCTGTGCTACTGCCTTGTCTGCCTGGGAGGCCTGGCCCTGCTCCTCACTGCCCAGGCCCACCTGACCTGGCTCAGCTTCCCCAGACCGCACTTGCCCAACATGGCAGCCACAGACCACAGGGGACTATCACCACAATTTGGTTTATCCATGCAATGGATGTGATCGGCCATAAAAAGGGATGAAGTACTGACACATGCCATGCACCAATGAACGTTAAAAACATCATTAAGTGGCCAGGCATGGTGGCTCATGCCTGTAAGCCCAAGACTTTGGGAGGCTGAGGTGGGCGGATCACCTGAGGTCAGGAGTTTGAGACCAGCCTGGCCAACATCATGAAACCCCATCTCTACTAAAAATACAAAAATTAGCTGGGTGTGGTAGCTGTAATCCTAGCTACTAGGGAGGCTGAGGCAGGAGAATCGCTTCAACCAGGAGGCGGAGGTTGCCGTGAGCCAAGATTGTGCCACTGCACTCCAGCCTGGGCCACAGAGCCAGACTCTGTCTCAAAAACAACAACAAACAAACAAACAAACAAACAAAAATTGTAAGTTGTAGGTGAAAGATGCCAGTCACAAAAAGTCATATAGAATTTTATTTATATGATATTCCTAGAATAGGCACATTCATAGACAAAAAGTATTCTAGTGGGTGTCTAGGGCAGGGGGAGTTTGGCGGTCATGGCTAAAAGGTGTGGCATTCATTTTGGGGGTAATGAAATGTTCTAAGATGAACCAGTGCTGATAGCTGCACAGCTCTGAATCTACTAAAAGCCACTGGAGTATCAATTGTATGGAATGTGAAGTACATCTCAATAAAGTTGTTAAAAATCAAATATAATTGAAATAAAAATTCAGCTAGTCGGGTGCACTAGGCACAGGCCAAACGCTCAGCAGCCGCGTGCGGCTGTGGCTACCGTACCGGATAGTGTGGCTGAGGAGCCCTTCAGTCATTCTGGGAGCTCCACTGGACAGGCTGGGCCTCCCTGGACAGCCAGGCCTCCCAGATGTCCCCTTGGAGGCTCCCAGATGTCCCCTCAGTCCCTGGCCTACCGGTCACCTCTCACAATAGGCACTGCTTCGTGGTCTCCACACCTCAAATCCGCAAGCTCTGCAGAGATGGCACCTTCATCCGTCTCGTCTCTGCTCTGTTCTCAGCGCCCAGAACACAGCCTGGAATGCAGTAAGAACCACTCCTGCCAGCTCAATAGACGGGTGCATGGCCCTTCTCTGTGAGCTTTCCTCTAGGTCCCACGCTGAATCAGGGCCTCCCTTCTCCAGGGTAGCCCTCGCACTTGGCTCATACCTCTCCTAGCAGCTGGTCCCCACCTGGTCTCCACCTATCCCAGCACCTGATCCCCACTTATCTCAGCACTTGGCCCCCACCTCTCCTAGCACTTGGCCCTCACCTGTGCCAGCATCTGGTTCCTATCTGTCCCAGCACTTGCTCCCCACCTGTTCCAGCGCCAAGTCCCCACTTGTTCTAGCACTGAGTCCCCACTGTAGCCCCGTCACTGTGTACTGTGGCAGTCTCCTTATTCCACGGATGAAAAATTGGAGGCTTAAAGAAGTTACAACTTGCCGGCCCAGCAAGGTGGCTCACGCCTGTAATCCCAGCACTTTTGGAAGCTGAGGTGGGCAGATCACGAGGTCAGGAGATGAGACTATCTTGGCCAACGTGGTGCAACGTCGTCTCTAGTAAAAATACAAAAATTAGCCAGGTGTGGTGGCGCATGCCTGTAATCCCTGCTACTCAGGAGGCTGAGGCAGGTGAATCGCTTGAACCCAGGAGGCAGGGGTTGCTGAGGTCATACCACTGCACTCCAGCCTGGACAACAGAATGAGACTCCATCTCAAAAAAAAAAAAAAAAAAGTCACAGCTTGCCTAGGCCACATGTATTAGTATCTTAAGACTGTCATAACAAAATTCCACAAACGGGTGGTTTAAAACAACGGAAATGTATGCTCTCACAGTTCTGGGGACCACAGTCCAAAATCCAGGTGTCCTCAGGTTTGGTTCTCTCTTGGGAACACAGAGGGCTCCATGCGTCTCTCCCAGCTTCTGGTGGCTGCCGGCAGTCCCTGCCGTACCATGGCTTGTGGCAGCATCACTCCAACCTGCCTGTGTTGCCATGTGGCGTTCCCTCTGTGTGTCTGTGTCTCTTCTTACAAGGACACCAGTGATTGGATTTAGGGCCCACCCTACTCCAGGGTGACGTCATCTTCACTTACATCTGCAAAGACCCAATTTCCAAATCAGGTCACATTCACAGGGGCTGGGGTTAAGGCTTGAGCATGTCTTTTGGGAGGACATTATTGAACCCACAGCCTCATACCACCAGTAAGTGTCAGAGCTTGGCCAGGCCTCCACTCATAGCCTCTCTGTTCACTGCACTATTCAACAAATGACAACGTGTGAATATGTAAGTCCACGTCATCCATTTAACAGCCCAGGAAACTGAGGGCCACAGGAATGCCAGCCTTCTGCTCCCCCATCTAAGGATACAGGGCTGATCCTCACAGAGCAGGATTTGTGTCTCTGCCTCTTCTCTTCCTTCCCCTGACTTCTGGCTGTAGGCTGGTCTCGCACCTCCAGCGTTGACCTGCTATTTACAGCTGTTTCTTTCTCCCGCCCCTGTTGTCAGTGGGCGCTTGCTCTGCTGTGGGTTGTGTGCGGACATTCTCTCTGCTGGGCTTTGCATCTGCTGCCCCTCCTCTCCCACTTCTGCACCAGACCAACTTGCTCACCACTGGGCCTGGGATTTGCTGAATGGACTTGGAGCCAGAGTCAGCCTCTGACTGCTATTACCTGATTCAAGCCGTATTTCTTTTTCCATGTCTGATATTCTCTGATATTTTCTAATACTCAATACATTCATTTCACAGTCAGCTACTGAGCCATGACCTAAAGTATGAAGTGCTGACTTGTGGTCCAGACACCTTCAGGGCCGCTGAGACTCTCTGGGGTCTGTTTCCAGCTGACTCCACCAGCCTTGGGCCTGCCAGCCTCAGCTCCAAACCGTGTGGTCCTTTTAGCTGAGCAGGCAAGTGACACTCAGACCTCCAGGCTCAGCTCACGCACTGGCTCTTCCGGGGGCCTGAGGCTCCAGCTTGTCATCACATCTTTCTAGATTCTAGATTTGTCCGCGTACCATCCTCTCATCCTGGGGTCAATGGTGTGTTAACTAGGATTTCTTGTTTTCTGCATTCCTCATGACTGCCAGTATGGCCTCACAGACTGGGGAGAGACTGCCCCTCCCCGTGGGGGCGTCCTTAGAGATTGTGAAAGGCTGCAGTCCGTCTTTCACACGCAAATCCACCAATTCAGGCCCAGACCCCCAACGTCCCCCTCATCAAACTCTCACACACCAAGGCAATATTTCCCTGCCCTAAATCACCCCAGGCCAAGGACTAGACAACTAGAGACCACCTGTATAGTCCAGTCCACCAGAATTATCCCAAGGAGCCAATCTGGGACTCTTTCCTCTGTTGTGCCCTAGCTTTTCCCCCAGGAAACCCCAATAGAGGGCCTGGCCTCGTTTTCCCCTCACTCCTGCTTCTGCCTGGCCACACCTGGAACTTCCTCTGGCATGTCCCCTTCTCTCAGGACATGTTAGTGATGCATTCTTTCAATGGCATTGATCTCTCTAAATCCCAGGGATATGATTTGAATGCACCAGCCTCTCCTGGGCCTGCCGAGGTATCTGCAAACTCCCGGGTTCCACAGCACCTTGTATTTCGTGCGGATACAAAGGAGTAGCTGTTGGGGCTCTATCTGCTGAGGGAGCTTCACCAGACACCCGATGCAAACCTGAGAGTGAAGGCTGTGCTTCTAGGCAAAAGCAGCCCCTCCCTCTTCCAACCAGATGGCCGCCCCTCAGCGCCCCCTGTGGAGAAATTCAGGAAGCACTACTCTTTGTGTAATACCTATACCTCTCTTGTTAAGCTCATTACCCCAAACTGTTAATTACTATTTACAAAAAATATATTATCTACTAGAATATGAACCCTGTCCCCACATCTAGGGTGGTGTGTGTATGTGTGTGAGTGTGTCTGTGTGCCTTTGCACGCATGTGCCATAAGAGCTCGATAAATATTTGAGTAACTGAGTGAATGAATGGGTATTTAGAAGCCCATTAAACTCAGACTAAGATGCAATTTGATCTTAACCCTGCAGGTACTAGGACAGCTGAGAAGGGGAGTAGCATGCATAAGGGTTGGAAGAGGAAGCTGAGGTGTGTGTAGGAGGTGGTGTGTCACACTGTTCTGGGGGGAAGAATAGGCCTCAGATGATGGTTAAACCCCAGCTCCACAGAGTGATCTGGGCAGGTTACCTGACATCTTGTTTCCTTAGGGGGTTGCTGGGCGATTAAATGAGAAACATGCGAAACACTCAGAGACTGCACTCCCATGCGCACAGAGAGTCAGTGGCAACTCTTATTATTACTCAACCTTTCTGAGCCTTGATTTCCTACTCTGTAGTAGCATGTCGTTGTCTGATGCTAAATGGAAGTGAAGTAAAATTTGTAAAAAGAAGCTTCACTAAATAATACTCCGTGTGATGTATTCTAATATATTCTGTTTTATGCTAACTCATTAAAGAAAAAAGAATACTGTCAGTGACCCAGTAAATTGATTTCATAATCCATTAACGGACATGTCCTTAAGTTTTAAAAAACCCAGCCTACAGAATATATTTTTAAATAGACTATATTTTAGAGCAAAATTCAACAGGAAAGTACAGAGAATCCCCACACATCCCGTGTCTCCACAGCTCTCCCCTGCCCATCAACATCTCACACAGGGTGGGACACTTGTCACGGTGGACCACCCTACATGGACATGTCATCATCGCCTAGCACCGAGTTTGCGTGAGCATTCGCTTTTGGTGGTGAACATTCTATGGATTTTGACCATTGTATAACAACACATACCTGCCATTGTGGTACGTTTCACTGCCCTAAAAATCCTCTGCTCTGCCTCTTCATCCTTCCCTCCAGAATATTTTTAACACAATCTCGAGGCCATAGATGATGCTCAGTAATTTGCAATAGTGATGAGGGTGGTGAACCAGAGGAGAGAGACACTGTTAGGAAGCTGCTGTAGTGGTTCAGGTGAGTGAGGTCAGAAGGGCAGCTGTGGCTGCAAAGGCTGGAAGAGAGGAGGGTGTGGGACTCTGTGCAGCGAGAAGAGACAGGCCTTGGTCAAGGAGTGAGGAACGGGCAAGCAGGAGTCACTGGACCCGAGGGCTCTGGAAGCTAGTGGCCTTGGTGTGCGACTGCAGAGAGATAGGAGGTGCCAGACAGCAGGGACTTCAAGGCAGAATTGAAATCTGCTGAACAGCAGGCGTCAGTCAGCTGGGACAGCCAGAAAGCTCAGGAGGCCGTCAAGCTGAGCTCTGCTCCCATTCCACCGCGTGACCTTGGGCAAGTCCCTTCCCTTCTACAGGAGGCCAGACTAGATGTCCTCCTTGTACAGCGTTGCGGGAAAGGTGAGACAGTGCCACCAACACAGCAGGGCATTGTTGGGGGATGACAGGAAACGCTTCACGGATCAGGCAGGATTTTCCTCCCACCAGAAAAAGCCAGTGCGGGCCTAAGGCCGGAGGAGGGACCCGGACATCGGAGTCGCCTTCTAAGGGGCTTCCTGGAGCACATTTTCCTGCCCAGCAACAGGCGGCAGCATTCTCTCCCCACCCATCCTCTGCGAACAGCAGTGAGACAGAACGCCTGCCGCTTCAAGCCAGGTCGCAGCCCCTGGGTGACCCGCTGCGCCCGGGGAGGGGCGGGCGGTGCGCGGTGGCGACGGCGGGCGCGGCAGCTGTGCCCGTCTGCCCAAGGGTTAATCCGTCCCCTGCAGCTGCCGCGCGTGCCTTGCAGAATTTCACCAGAAGAGGGTACAGTTTGAAAAGCTCCTGACGTCAGGCTGGAATTCCTATTGTGTTTAGAAACGGCTCGGGCAAAGCCAGCCCAAGTTCGCTCTCTGCACACCTCGAGCACCTCGCGGACGGCGTGAGTCCGTCAGCTCTGGGACCTGCGGCCACTACCTGCGCGCCCCGGGGCGTAGGACGGTGCCAGCCGCCCACGAGGAGACCCCACTCCTGCAGGAGGCCGAGCTGAAGAGGCGGAGAGCGCCGCCCGCCAGCCGGGGTGAGTGCCCCGGGCAAGGCCGGCGGCCGCCAAAGCCCCCGCGGGCGCGCCCCGGCGCCCGGATGCCAGCCCCGAGCCCCGCCGCCGGGTGCATGCCTCCCCCGCGGCGCGCCCCCGCCGGCTGCTGCCCGCTGTGACCGCCCTTCCCCGCAGGCGGGCGCCGGCCGGGCTCTCCCCGAGATCAGCGCACGGGTGGCACCCGCCGGACCCCCAGCGGCAGCGGCGGCGGCGGCTGCAGGGGGCGCGGGGCCGAGGCTGCGAGGGGGCGCGCGGGTAGGATGGACGGGTCCGGGGAGCGCAGCCTCCCGGAGCCCGGCAGCCAGAGCTCCGCGGCCAGCGACGACATCGAGATAGTCGTCAACGTGGGGGGCGTGCGGCAGGTACTGTACGGGGACCTCCTCAGCCAGTACCCGGAGACCAGGCTGGCGGAGCTCATCAACTGCTTGGCGGGGGGCTACGACACCATCTTCTCTCTGTGCGACGACTACGACCCCGGCAAGCGCGAGTTCTACTTTGACAGGGACCCGGACGCCTTCAAGTGTGTCATCGAGGTATACTATTTCGGGGAGGTCCACATGAAGAAGGGCATCTGCCCCATCTGCTTCAAGAACGAGATGGACTTCTGGAAGGTGGATCTCAAGTTCCTGGACGACTGTTGCAAGAGCCACCTGAGCGAGAAGCGCGAGGAACTGGAGGAGATCGCGCGCCGCGTGCAGCTCATCTTGGACGACCTGGGCGTGGACGCGGCCGAGGGCCGCTGGCGCCGCTGCCAGAAGTGCGTCTGGAAGTTCCTGGAGAAGCCTGAGTCGTCGTGCCCGGCGAGAGTGGTGGCCGTGCTCTCCTTCCTGCTCATCCTCGTCTCGTCTGTGGTCATGTGCATGGGCACCATCCCCGAGCTGCAGGTGCTGGACGCCGAGGGCAACCGCGTGGAGCACCCAACGCTGGAGAACGTGGAGACGGCATGCATCGGCTGGTTCACCCTGGAGTACCTGCTGCGCCTCTTCTCGTCGCCCAATAAGCTGCACTTCGCGCTGTCCTTCATGAATATCGTGGACGTGCTGGCCATCCTCCCCTTCTATGTGAGCCTCACGCTCACGCACCTGGGTGCCCGCATGATGGAACTGACCAACGTGCAGCAGGCCGTGCAGGCGCTGCGGATCATGCGCATCGCGCGCATCTTCAAGCTGGCCCGCCACTCCTCGGGCCTGCAGACCCTCACCTATGCCCTCAAGCGCAGCTTCAAGGAACTGGGGCTGCTGCTCATGTACCTGGCAGTGGGCATCTTCGTCTTCTCTGCCCTGGGCTACACCATGGAGCAGAGCCACCCAGAGACCCTGTTTAAGAGCATCCCCCAGTCCTTCTGGTGGGCCATCATCACCATGACCACCGTCGGCTACGGCGACATCTACCCCAAGACCACGCTGGGCAAGCTCAACGCAGCCATCAGCTTCTTGTGTGGCGTCATCGCCATCGCCCTGCCCATCCACCCCATCATCAACAACTTCGTCAGGTACTACAACAAGCAGCGCGTCCTGGAGACCGCGGCCAAGCACGAGCTGGAGCTGATGGAACTCAACTCCAGCAGCGGGGGCGAGGGCAAGACCGGGGGCTCCCGCAGTGACCTGGACAACCTCCCTCCAGAGCCTGCAGGGAAGGAGGCGCCGAGCTGCAGCAGCCGGCTGAAGCTCTCCCACAGCGACACCTTCATCCCCCTCCTGACCGAGGAGAAGCACCACAGGACCCGGCTCCAGAGTTGCAAGTGACAGGAGGGCCCCCCAGGCAGAGATGGACCAGGCGGTGGACAGACCGATAGGTGTGGCAGGCATGTCATCGATAGCACAGAAGGGCTGTCCTGTGTCCCCCCAACCCTCCCCTGGACAGACTCTGAAGGCCCTCCCGGCACCTCTGCCAAGGCTGGGTAAGACTCCTCTGTGTTGCCTGCTGTCCAGGAGCCGGGGAGGGAGGGGTGTGCAGGAGCCGCAGGGCCGTGTGGGGCGAGTGGAGGCCGCGGCCTGGTTGGCGCGGGAGCCCACGCCCGCTTCTGTATCTCCCTCAATAAAGCCTCCTGCTCTGTGCACCCTCCGTGTTGTAGGTTCTGTCACAGGCTGGCTGTCACCCCCAAGAGTAGCTCAGGCACACCCCAGTGCCAGGCCAGGAGGTAGGTGTGCGGCCCGGGTGGTGGGGGAGCTATTTTTAGTTGAAAACTAATTAAAGAAGGGCTCACAGTCAGGTTCGGCGCCAAGGAGACTTGCCACATTCCAGGAGGCTCTGTGCAGGCCGCGCTTCCCTGCTGCTTCCTTCTGCGGTAAAACTTGCTCCCCGTGCGGGCCCAGGATGGGGGGGAGCTCACAGTGCAAGCCCAGCAGCCCGCGGCATCTAGTTATCACTTGCACGGGGCCCTTTTCACAACCTCTGTCTATTCCTTCCATTGACCCTACTAGCTAGGTATCTCCATTTTACAGATGAGGAAACTGAGGCCCCAGGTCACACAGAGAAGGGAACAGTCCCAGGTCTGATGATCCCAAGCCCGCGTGTCCTCTCTGACACCAGGTGGTCGTGGGACAGAGGCATCTGCTGGGCTCATGATGAGAGGTTCTTTGGGCCAGGAGAGGAGCTGCTCTTCCTTGGTGTGGGGTGCCTGTCCTCCAGCCCATCTCTCTAGCCCTGATACCTTTGAGATAGCTGCTGGGTGGATAAGCGTGAGTGTGGACCCCCTGACCCGTGTCCTGGTGTCTCACTACATCTCGTCTGAGAGCCCCGAGGGAACAGAGACAGATCTGGGTTTGAAGCCCAGGCAGTGAAGAGGAACTCTGAGATGCCTTTGAACTTAAACATTTTTCTCTAAGGCCTCTCCTCCTCCACTCTCTTACCAGTTTTGCGATGTGACTGTAGGCCTGCTGATTCACCTCTCTGACCCTCTTTCTGATCATCTGCTAGATGGGGATATAATATTCAATAAGTACTGCAGAGAATCGTGGCTTTTAGCATGGCACCTGGCACTTAGTAAGTGCTCAATAAATAGTAGCTCTGTTACTCTGTGCTGGGAGAGAGGTGGGTTACACAGTTGCCCACTCTGACCTCCACTGATCTGGGCTGGGCTTGTAGGTCCGGGGAGGTTGGGGGCAGGGCATTGTCACACTGTCCTTAGTCAAACGCTAAGAGTTGGCCCCAGCAGGCCCCTTCCTCTGGGTTTCCATCTTCCCTGAACCCCAGAGCTCTGTCCTTCCTTCTCCTGCTAAGGCAGCTGGTACAGTGGGAGGAGCCCTGCAGTGGGGGAAGCGGGTGGGACTACATGGGGGAGAGGGAGGTGGTGGTCCCCAGTCTGCCACCATCTCGGGTCCATCTTTCCCCTCCTCTAGGCGTAGGTTTCCCTGTATGTATAATAAGACTTCTTGAGGCCCTGTCTAGATCCAACCTTCCAGGATTCGGAAGCCTTAGGCTGTGGATGCTCTGTGGTGTGGACCCTAGAGGATGGGAGGCTGCCATGTTGTAGGGGGCTTGGAGTGGGAGGTCTTGGGAGAGAGAGAGGGTCTGTGGAGTGCAGGGCTCAGCTGCAGAGCTGTGGGCGATGGGAGTGCCCCAGGTAGAGAGGGGCCTGGCCAGGGGGTGCATGGCTAGGTGGGGCAGGAGTGTCAGCCCCAGCCTGAAAGGGGCTGTCCTGTGTCCCCCAGTCCTCTCCCAAACAGAGGCTCTCCCAGGCAAGACTCTTGTGTGGCTTTGAGTCAGTGCCGTGCACCCCTCCCTCACAGGTTTCTCCAGGAAAATGCTGGGTCAGGGCCAAAAGGCAGAGGAGTCAGGAGGCAGGGGCTGGGGCAGCGGGGACCCAGTGCAGGGAGGAGAGGGGCTGCACTCCCTCCAGCTGGGAAAGAGGGGAGGAGGGTTGTGGAGGGTGTAGTCTGTGCACCCCAGGGCTCAGTGGGTTTGCTGGATGTGTGGGTTGCCTCTTTTTGACCCCTTTTCCCCAGAGCCTGTGCTGGCCCGAGGGCTTCACCGAAGCAGGGAAAGCTGAGGGAGGGCAGGAGAGGCCAGGGTGACCCTGGCTCTGGAGGCCACCTTCTTTGCACTCACCTGGGGCACCAGGGGAGGGAGGCGCTCAGTGAAGAGCAGATTTACGGCTACAAAGCCATGCATTGGAAGAGGAGGAGATCCAGTCCCAGAGGCGGTAGGTGTTTTGTCTGAGGCCTTCATAAATTAGGATTAGACAGGATCCTGATCTCAGAGGAGCTCAGAGTGTAACAAATAATTTCTCTACAGTGACATGCTGTGTCACGCAGGATCTAGGAGCAGGAGCAGTCTTCTTTCCCTGGGGCATCTCTCTGGGGCATGGGTTCTGGAACTCTGCTGAGCATTAGAACCACCTGGGGAGCTTGAAAAAGCTCTGTTTAGCTGTTTAGGCTGCATCCCATACCTATTAAATTGGAATCTCTGGGGGTGACACCCAGGCAGGATTTTTTTCTCTTTTGTTTTGAGACAGGGTCTCACTCTGTCACCCAGGCTAGAGTGCAGTGGTGTGATCATAGTTTTTAAAGTTTAATGTGCACCTAAGCCATCCAGAGACCTTGTTAAAATGTAGTCTTTGAATCTGTAGGTCTGGGTGGGTCCCTGGAATCTGCATTTCCAACAAGCTCTCAGATGAGGCTGAGGCTACTGGGCATGGACCCCACTTTGAACAGCAAGAGGGCAGCGGGGGTGTTGGCAAACTCTGGCTGTGGGCCAATCTGATCTGCTACCTGTTTTGCTACAGCCCATGAACTAAGAATGGTTTCTATGTATTTCCATGGCTGAAAAAAATCGAAGGAAGAATAACATTTTGTGACACGTGAAAAGTACATAAAATTGAAATTTCGGTGTCCACAAAGCAAGTGTGGACTATTTATTTTCCATCCCCTGTAGAAAATGACGTCTAAGTTAGGCCTTGAAGAATGAGTAGGAGCTCTCCCGGAAGAGGGAGTAGAAAGAATGTCCCACGTACCAGGAACAGCGTGGGTGCCAAGACACAGGAGTGTGGAACCCGCTTTAGAGGGAGTGAGGCCCGCTCTTAAACCACAGGGCAGGTGCAGGAATCGTAGTAAAAAGATCTTCCTTTCTCACTGCGTCCCAGGGCTCACAGCTGCCTGCTTTGTTTCCCATGGAGACCCCCGATTTCAGGTTCCCTGCAGCCAGCTCTCTGCAGTCCTGGCTTGTGCTTAGAGGCTGCTGGCTTCTCTTCCTCCTTTCTTGACCTCCCAGCCACAGTCTTGTAAAATCTTCCTGTCCTGGGGCAGTTGCCTCACATGCTCTTCCCCGGGTTTGGGTGAATCTCACAAGCTTCTTGTAACCTGCTAATAATGACTATCAAGTGAGAGGCAGATGTGTTTCTTGGAGTTGCAGAATGTGCAAGTTAAGAGAAAAGCAGGGCATCATCGGGTGCAAGCCCTTGCTGGACAGACGGGGACATCGTGGCTCTGAGTGTGTACGGCTGAGTGAGGCCTGCGTGCCACAGTCTTTTGAGGGGCCCACCCCATTCTGATTCTCATAAAATTGGGAGCACTCCGTGCACGCCATTTCAAAAATAGAGAAGTGTGAGTGCAAGACTGTGTGTGTGTGTGTGTGTGTGTGTGTATGTAAAAACAAATGAATTCCTGACTTTTAAAGAAAGGGCATGTGGTAGACACCTTCACAAACAATCTCATTTTAGCCTCAAAATAATTCCATGCAGTGAGCTAGTAATCTGTAGTTTTACAAATGGGGAGACTGAGGCCCAGAGGGCAGAAGCAAAAGGCTGATAGCCTTGCTGCTCATTAATGGCAGAGCTGGTAGCTGAGCCCAGAGCCTCCAGCTGACATTTATCTGGAGGCGGATCGTGTACCTCTCCCTGCTGCCATCAGAACTCAGCGCCCGACAGGCCCCGCTTAAGGTCTGACCTGAGCTTCCGAATAAGGCGAAGGATGCCATCATCTGATCTCTCTGGAAGGCTTCACTCCATCAGCTATGCTTTGGTTTCGGTTGCGGTATTTTTTTAAGGAAAGAAAGAGAAGGCAAACCCATTTCCTTGAGCCAGATGCTTGGGCCACATGGAATTCAGGATCCATCTTGGCAATCGTAGGAGGGTCTGGAGCCTAGAGCCCCCCCACCTGGGGTCTGGAGGGACCCCATAAAACGAGGGAAACTGGGAAAAATAGCTGTGAAAATGGCAAGACCTAGAACTACTTCTCACACATTCCCTGATGAAACCTGGTGGGCGGCAGGTAAGACACTAGCAATTGCCCCAGGGTTACAGGAAGGGGGTTCATTGACCTAATGGGGAGATACCGGCAGGAGGATGGGTCAGTGTGGGGAACGCTTGAGAGGCAGCGGCCCCAGTCTCCCCTCGTCCTGTGAAGGGCTGCCTGTTCCTCCCACAGCCCCAGGCCCAGCCCTCTTTCCCCCAAGGGAGGATAATTGAATGTCTCCCAGCCTCCTGTCATCTCCCAGAAAGAAGAGGGCCAGGGCATTTCCAGGGGCCTCCCACCTGTCTGCCTGTGCGGAGACAGCTCTGTGCTCTTCCAGAGCGTATTCCCAGCTGACTTGAAAGGGGATTTCACCCATCCCTCAATCGGAGGTGGAAGTTCCCCCCAAATGCTTTCCTCACTTGGAGCAGCCCAAAATGTAGCTACAGAGAGGATGTCAGTTTCCAAAAGGAAAAAAACAAAACAAGGATTGGGAGGCTCTGTGCTTAGTCATTTTCGTTTTTGAGGCTATCGCTAACAGCCAGCCGGGCTCGGTGCCAGGGCCGCCGTAATCATGATTTTATTCCACACTCCCAACAACTGGCCAGAAACGTTGATTGCTCCGGCTTCAGGTGACACCTGTGAGGTCCTGTGAGTCGCGGGAAATTGCCTGCGGTCACATGGCTAAAGAGAGGTGGATGCAGGTCAGAGAGGGACTCCAGCTTGGGCCCAAGGGACTGCGCAGCCCGCCGCCTCCCTCTCCACTTGCCAAGAGGGCCCAGTGCCTGTGGTCCTGCAGGCCAGTGTCCGTCCCCAAGGAGTGAGGATGGAGTCCAACACTGCCGACCGTTCACTCCAGCTTAGCCTCTAGGTCACTTCCCTGGCACAAAGCTA